TAAATTTACTAGATGTAATCAATTGTTATGATTTGGCTGAAGAGGTAATTGATTAGACTGTTAGAGAAGATTCAAATAAACGATTGAATCACTCACAACATTGGCAGAAAATTACTTCTTCAGGAGGAAGGAAGAGTGACTCTAAATATTAAAAAACTGTCATCATTCTATCCCTTGAAATTTTTTTATTTTTGTTTTTTTGGTTTATGATCTTTTGTAGATAATTGACATGTACTAATTCAAGCTGAGCAAGAAAAGTTGCTTTTAGTATACTTAGTGCTCACATGTTAACTAGTAAGAGGATTAAAAGGGGCCTGTTTTTTCAAAAAGACATGATTGCAGTTACTTATAGCCTTAGAAAAAGGAGGTTGATTTGGTGCAACCGTAAGAGTTAAAACTATACTTTTATTGATCCGAAACAGTCAAAATTCATAAATTTATTAACCAATCAAGTTATTTGTTGTCTTCTGAAATTTTTGGAGCTTAGCCTACTATCCCTAAGTGGGCACACACAGAATTGGATTCAAATTCTGTCAATTTGGATTGCATCGATCCAAAGTGGTAGTGTAGTACAGAAGATATTTTCTGAATGAAGTAGCAAGGATGCACATGACTATCAACCTTATTTCAAGTGCCAACCATAATAGTTAAATCACATGTAGTACTGCTCAACGTATAGATTCTCTTGGTCCTATAAATGATGTTTCTTGACTTAGATAACAATGTCCTAATGTAATTCCTTCAGAGCTGAGCTTGACTGCACTAGGGTCTTTATCAAGGGATTAATTTGAAAATGAAATCAAGAAAATGACCCTTTAGAGAGAATCTAATCTCTTCATGTAATTTAATGTTCCTTCTAAAATATTTCGCTGATCAGATCAATATCTCACTTCAAATATTAAAATTATAGCTTACAAAACAAGTATCACTTGTCCACTTTTTGGGTGTTTGTGGTTGTTTGTGTAAGCTCTCAGATTTTAGAATTCATGATACCCACACAAGTCGGTTTTGGAGCAAATCCACTTTTCGGTGTGATTATTTCTCATTTTCTAGGGGTCCTACACTGCAAATAATGGTGCTGCTTTGTGGGTAAATTAAAAAATACCAGTTTTTAAATAACACAAAGTAATGATAACTAAGAATCTTTAACACCTTTCTCCTTTGAACAAATCTTCTTCTGGGGTCTAATCATTTTGGCACTAATAGGTGAGATTTGGGTTCAATTTGCCACTAAGGGTACATGGACCTAGGCATCGCTTTAGAATTTCTTTTTCTTGTTTAAATAATACTATGCTGTATACCATCACCCACAACCTCATTAATATATAGTATATTCCTACACGTCCCAGAGAATATATCGGTCATAACCAGATTTATTTACAAAAACAGTCTATAGTGCAGAGATCTGATTTTCACATACATGCATTTCTCTCTTATACTTCACTATTTTTTCTATTTTTTCGTCGTATTATATCATTTATTATTTATCTTCTTTTTTTTATCTCACTAAACATATTCACTACATAGATATACACCACCCATATTACTTGTTAGACCAAAGATATATTGACTTAATAAGATTTAAGTATATATAGTATATTATATAGCTCAAACAATTTAGTGAATATATATAGAAGTGTATAACTTTTTTCAAGTATTAGAAAATCTACTGTAAAGATTAAAAGCTGAATTTTATGAATTTCTTTGATCTTACGCAGCTAGCTAGCTAGCTTGCATAATGATTTGTAATAGCAAACATAAAGCCTAGCAACGACTGTGAACATTGTGGATTCAAGGAATAGGAGAAACATACAATAGCAATACCAGCAGTGAAAGGGTAAATCCAAGAATATAAAATTTGGGTTGGGGGGACACGGCTATTCAGCTGAAATCACGCTCTCAGCCTTGTAGCTAAGCTTGGTTTGTCTTCTTGTAGGGAATTCCCTGACTTAACCAATCTATGTTCTTTATTCCAAAGAATAAGGTCATGAAAACTGTTCTCTCTTGCAGTTAAAATCTAAGGAGAAAATAATAATGGGTTTTCTGAAAAAGGGCTTCAAGTTCTGCATGTGGTGCATTATGGTACTTCCAATGCCCCCACATTTGGACCATCGTTTCTTGCCTTGACAACCATACAGCACTTCATTTTGGCTTGTGAAAGGCACAACACTTTTTCTCACCCCCATAACATGTCAATTGTTTATGTCTTTATCAATTTTACACTCCAGCATTCCCGACACAGCAAAATCAAATTCACACTATTATTAAGCCTTTGTTTATCATAACTAGTACATTATTTCCCAAATAGATATCCTATGTGAACCCAAATAATTGTGCACTACTGGAAAGCACACTAAAAGGCATTTATGCAATCTTCTCCCACTATCTGGCCTAAAATACATGTCTAAAATGGTTCCTTCTTACGTCCTCTATGTGTTGCTCGTTTTTGGAATTGAAGGATCACTCTCTTAGTATATAGTAGCCGTTAATTTCGAAATATACGGTTGTGATAAACATAGCCTCATAGGCTATCGTTATAGTAAGTTTTAAATGACATATAAATTAAGTATAATCACATTGCAATATGAAATTAATATTACATTTTCAAACAAATAAATTTTGTTGCAACTTTTGTCAAAATTCAATTAACATTATTTTAATGTTAATACAACATACATTAATACAAAATCTGTTTCACTATAGCCTCAATGTAATTAAAAATTTACTTAAAAATGGATATTATAGCAGATGATTATTTTTTTTTCATTAATGATTGTAAGATAAATTTAATAAACATTAATATATATATATATATATATATATATATGAAGATAAAAATATTAATTATTATTTTTGTTAAATAGTCAATTAGTGTGAAGTCTACGGATTCGTATTTGCACATAATTTGAAAATGTAGATAATAATAAATATATCTGATTAAGAAAATATAAAAAATATATAAATTAGATTATGTTGATTTTATTAAAAAATTTTACTAGTCTTGTAATGAATAATAAAAGAGAGATAGCTAAATAATAAAAAAATATAAAATTTAGAAAAAGATAAAGATAAAGATGTAGAATTATAGTTTATACTAAATTAATAAAACTCTTGTACACTGTATAAATAGTATTATATTAAATGATTTTTAATAAATAATTAAAATTATATTGTATGGCTTTTTCACTTTTAATATTTTTTATAAACTAAAAAAATGTCAAACTTATAATTATTAAAAATAAATAGTTTATTGTATTAAATAAGTAAATTAAAGAGATATTATTTTAATTAAAAAATAAATATTTAATGTAGAAAAAATCACTTATCATGACGAAAAGGAGAACAAATTTTAAAAGCACTTTTGTGTAAGAAAATTCTTTAGAGCAATCTGGTTTAATAAATTATATATAAAGATCGGTTAATATTTATTTGAAATCTTATTTTAGGAGGTGAATAATTTTCTTTTCTACTTTAAAAAGGAATTTAGGGTTGAAATATGAATGAAATGTTTATTGTAACATGATTTAATCATTCTTTCTAAAAGGTAGAGGACTAAGACTCAAAATTAAAGTTAAGGTTAATAAAGAAGTATAGTGGTAGGGTTTATAATTCAAGTAAAAGATATACGATTAGGTGGAAGAGTGTATTTAAAGTTACCAAAATGAATAAATTCTAACATGCTCTTTAAAATATAGAACTTGAATCATTTAAGGCCCAAATAAATTTATATATTTTTAATATAGTGTGACATAAAATAGATGTTTACTATAGTATATATAGGCCTACGAAAGTATAGAATAGATTAATGATTATAATTTCTTTATTATCTTAAAAATTAAAAGGTATCAATATTTTTTTAATTAATGTATTAATTTCATTATTTATTAATATAAAATTAATAATAAAGATTGTTTCACATATAAACGACTAAGTGAGGATACCAAACTCTCTCAGGTAGACAAATACAATAGATTTTATCTATAAAAAATAAATATATATATATATATATAGTAGGAACAAAGTCCACAAAATCTTGTTAATAATAATATTATTATATTTTTTTAACTTACTTTTTTTATTATTATTATTAGAGTCAGCCCTTAGAAGCCATGGGTCAAGATTCAACTATCATTCTAGATACTTAAATAAATTCAAACTTTTTATGTCTAACCTGCATAAATTCACTACTCGCATTGGATCAAGGCAAATTAATCTGGCATGAATTGATATCTCTAAATTTAATAAAGGTGATTAAAATAGATTTTATATAATTACATGTTAGTAGAAACATTAAATATATATTGATGGAATGTTTAAGGAAAGTTATAATTAATTTTTTTATACAAAAATTCAATAGTATCTATTATATGTTTTACAATAAAATATTCATATTATTATTATAATATTTATTTTCAAAATAATATCGATAAATTATTATCACTATAATATAACATTTCTTTGGTGGTATTAATATTACGTAAATATATTTAAGTGATGTCTTTTGTGATTAAAACGAATATGTATTAACTTTACAGTTGTAAGCAATACCTTTATTTTATATTTACTATTCCGATAACAAGTAATGTAGTAATTTATCACGTCCGTTCATTTATAATCAATCAACGGTTAAAATAATATTAAAGGATGGATCCTCCAAAATGAAACAAGAAATTGTGGACATGTCCTCTAAAATGAATAGTATACACAGTGGAAGATATAATTTGAATGTTGAAATTGTGATATAGAAATTAGATAGTAGCCTACAAAATCAAATGGGTACAGACTGTTATTTCCCACTTACTTATACGCAAATCTATATGTCACCCCCACAACCTTAATGTGTATGTGACCCATACCCTTTTCAATCCCCACAAACCCCAAAAATATTTAGTCCAAAAAATAAAAAATAAAGAAAATCACAATATTTTTTAATCTTATTTTACTATAAATAGATGAACAAGGAGACTCTGAGGAAAGCACCAAAATCCCATCTTAACAACATGAAGAGTACACTCTCACACTCTCCCTTATTCATAGTCCTGATCCTGTTGATGTTCTTCTCCCTAGGCCAAGGGCTGAACCCAAAATGTGACACGAAAGATGAAGGGTCAACCTTGAAAGTTTACCATGTGTTCAGCCCATGTTCCCCATTTAGGCCAACAAAGGCACTTTCATGGGAAGAGAGTGTCCTTGAGATGCAAGCAAAGGACCAAGCCAGGCTTCAATTCTTGGCCAGTTTGGTGGCTGGGAAGTCCATTGTGCCCATTGCCTCAGGAAGACAAATCACGCAAAGCCCAACATACATTGTGAGAGCCAAAATAGGTACCCCACCTCAAGCCTTGCTCTTGGCCATGGACACTAGCAATGATGCTGCTTGGATACCCTGCACTGCCTGTGATGGTTGCTCTTCAACCTTGTTTTCTCCTGAAAACTCTTCCTCTTTCAAGAATGTTATCTGTGGTTCTCCTCAGTGCACCCAGGTTTTATTTTAACCTCTTCAAATTAGCATTATTTTATGTACTTTATCTGTTTTTTATTCTTTTCAATACTCTTTATTCAAATCAAAAGCATGTCGCTTTTAATGTATACAAAATATTTTTCAAATTTCACTTGTCCTCATTTGTTTAAACCTTTTCATTTTTTTCTCCTCTTCTCTGGATCCATGTGGGTTCACGGGCCAGATTTCGTAAGTAGAAAGAACCAAACAACATGATGTCACTATATGCAACCTTTCAACTCATTTTTGCTGTCTCTTTTCTTCTTCCTTTAAGTGCTCTTTGAAAACTCGTTCAAAAAATAACTCTCATTCTTTTTAACGTAATGTTCTAATCAAAATGTTCATATATCTTAATTATATTTAACGATTTAAAATTAATTTTATTGAAATAGTTTATCCAACTTTAAACTAAATGGATTATGGATATTTACATGGCTTCCATGACTTAGAGGATACCTAAAAACACGCCATGCCAAAATTGCGTACATAATGTTACTGGTTTTCGAAATTCGAGGATTAGTCTACCGTTGATTTCAAATAGACGATTGTGATAAACTTACCCGTGCTTTTGACTGCTGGTTTTGTATATTTTAAATGACACATTAAAAATATAATTAAATTAAAAATACTAATATTGAACTATTACATTTAATTTTACATTTTCAAACAAAAATTTAATATATTTAAATTCAATATTACATTTTTCAAACATAAGGAAAATTAAATTGCAACTTTTTGTTAAAATCCAATTAACATTATTTTCATATTAATACAACATATATTCATATAAAATCTGTATTATCCTCAATGAAATTAAATAATAATTAAAAAATTTTTATTAATGATTGTAAAATAAATTTAGTATATATAAATAATATTTTTAAACTGTGGGTTTCATTTTTTTCTCCTTTCATTCACAAAAAGATAAAGAACTCAAATAAAAAAAAAATAAACAAAATTACTTCTTTCAATGTAAAATTTCCTACTCAAAATCAGATCATGCAAACAATGAGTCAGTTTAAAAAAAATATTAAGAACAGAATTTCTCATTGGTAAACAATAGGATCATTCATGGTGAGGATATTTTTTGGATGGCCCAGAATGGTCTTTTGGACCACAATGGCCTACAACTTAGCAACAGTCATTTTCTTTATCTTGACGTGGAAGGAGGGTAATTTCTCAATTATAGAGAGACTCCAATGATTCTCTTCGCTATCATCACATAGAAACATGCGATCCCTTGTCCCACAGCTGGTGGGGTTGACTTACTTTGCCAATATCCAAATCCTAAATCTACAAAACTATGTGCACTGTTTTTCAGGCAAGGGTTCACGAGACCTGTTTTTATTCTAACGTTGTGATATCAACACTTTCAGGTACCCAACCCCAGTTGCGGAACCAGCGCGTGCACCTTCAACTTGACCTATGGTAGCTCCACCATAGCGGCTAATGTGGTCCAAGACACATTTACCTTAGCCACTGACCCTGTTCCTGACTACACTTTTGGTTGCATTTCAAAGGCTACGGGGACCTCTGCTCCACCACAGGGCCTACTGGGTCTGGGCCGAGGCCCATTATCATTTTTGTCTCAGACCCAAAACCTCTATCAGTCCACATTCTCTTATTGCTTGCCTAATTTCAAATCACTTAACTTCTCTGGGTCACTAAGACTTGGGCCTGTTTCCCAGCCCAAGAATATCAAGTTCACCCCTCTTCTCAGGAACCCTAGAAGATCATCACTCTACTATGTTAACTTAGTTGCTATTAGGGTTGGCCGGAAAGTTGTTGATATCCCTCCGGCAGCATTGGCATTCGATCCGTCAACCGGAGGCGGCACCATCTTTGATTCCGGTAACATTCTTTTACTTAGACACTTTACTTGAGAAAAGAAAATTGTGAAACAAAAAAGCATACTAAGTGGGGGTCTAAAACATCAACAAAGAATTTTTTTTCTAATACTACTTAAAACCCATGGTTAGTTTATCTCATATGTCCAAATTCTCATCATAATAAAGTCCATTTAAAAGCAATTCAAGTTCTAATGACGTCAAATTAAAAAAAAAAATAGTAATCACGTTTGGTATTTATTTTTTCTTTATTTTAATTTTTACAGATCTCGTTTATTTAATATTTTATTAAGAGAAGGATAAGCTTTACATATGACCTTATGGTAAAATTTTAACAGGAAAGGGTACATTTTTCCGTACCCTGCATGCCTTTTTCAGAAAACACCCCAATTTTAGGCAACTGTGATTGAGAATCACACTTATGGGTTATGTTCTAAACTAATGATAATAATAATGTAAAATAGTCTTCAGAAAAATAACACAAAATACTAGTCAAAGATTATATTGACCATAACTTTGTTTTTAAATTTCTTGTTGAACGCAACATTACTAGGTACGGTGTTCACCCGGCTAGTTGCACCGGCCTACGTGGCGGTCCGAGACGAGTTCCGGCGACGAGTTGGGGCGAACCTCCCCGTGACAACCCTAGGAGGGTTTGACACATGCTACACAGTCCCAATAGTAGCACCCACAATAACATTCATGTTCTCGGGCATGAACGTGACACTGCCACCTGACAACATTCTCATACATAGTACTGCCGGTAGCACCACTTGCTTGGCCATGGCTGCGGCTCCAGTCAACGTGAACTCGGTGCTCAATGTGATAGCCAACATGCAGCAACAAAATCACCGTGTGCTCTATGATGTGCCCAACTCGAGGCTTGGTGTTGCTCGTGAGCTTTGCACTTAGTAAAATTATTGGTTCTTTCTATTTTGTCATGCCTTTTGTGACAATAATATTGTCAAATTGGTCATTAGAAAGTCTTTTGGGTAATGGTATTTAAATGCATTGATCGGTTTGGTTTTAGCATGTTGATAATAAGGTTTTGTGCTAACTACATATTGGAAGATTTTTAGCTATTATGCATATGGAATTAAATTCGTGCCTTTAAAACTTGAGTTATATATATATAGCTTTATTCAATGGCGTGTGTCACGGGTTTATGTTCCTGTAGTTGTCTTTTTGTTCAAGGTGATTGAATTGATGAAATTTAGGTGCTTCAATAATCGTGCAAGTTCACGGGTCCTGTAATAAACTTATTCGTTGCATTTTAATAATTGGCACGAAATTCATTTTGTATAATGCATTAATTAATATCTTTGATTAAGAACTTATGTGTAGCAATAACCAAGTGCTGAAATCTACAAAGGTACGATTGAGACTTTAGGAGAAGGAAGGAAAGAGTAATTTTTTATTTTTAATTAACATTTTTAATTTTATAATTTTTTAAAAATAAAAGTGATGAAATAATAGATTAACTTACTGTTCTAATCTTTTATTTATTTTTATGAATATTATATATCTTTTGTAGTGGATAAAGATCAACTCGGTCCTACTTGTAGGAAAAGGAAACTGAGTACTTATTCAGCATAATAGACCGGATACCCCTCGTCAGGATTAAAATGTAATTAACTCAATTAAGAGTAATAATCAAGATATTATTTATTTTAAATAAAGGGCTAAAATGAAAACTGGCTCGACAGACCCATTACAGTGCCTATATAAGGAAGGTAAAAGTATAGGTAAAAGGTTGACTTTTCATTATTAAATAGCATTTATTGCTCAGAACCGAATCCTGACTTCAGCATCGGAGTGCCTTTTGCAAGTGTCCTCCCACGTCAACAACGGTTAAAGAAACGTCAGTACGTCAGAGTAGAGACTTGAAGACCTGTGTTACCTTAACAGGAACATCTTTTAAATTTGAAACTTAAAATATTTCTTCTCTCTTCTTTTTCTTTGCACAATTGAACTTCTAACTAAAGACTGATTACTTATTTCAATTAGCATTAAACTATAATAATTGCACTCCTTCCATATTCAAATATAAACAAAAAAATAATTAACTCATGTTAATTAAGAATAGTAGTTAAAATTTAAAAAATAAACTTTATTCTCTAATTATCTTTTATGATATTTATTCTAGAGAAAAAAATTGAAACCAAATTTTCTTAATTGCATAAAATAACTCTTTAACTTTTCATTAACATTAAATGTCATTAGCGATGGAGGTAAAAAAAACAAACATTTTATATAAATTATAGTCATGTTTAAGAGATGAAACCATTCAGCATAATGAAAGACTTCAATTTTATGAGAACTTGTTTTAAATGAATATATATATATATAAAGTCTTACAAGAATAAAAGGAGTCATTAAAAATAAAATTTGAATTAAGTAAAGAATATTTTAAGAATGATTTCACTAAACAAGGTGAAATCAATTAAGATCTGCTTATATTTTGAACCACCATATATAAGTTCAAATTTGCTTATATTTAAATTCGGAAGGAGTACATTTAAAATATAAAAGCTACTTTACATTGCGTATGTTTTGTTTCACATCCAGCAACCTAGACATGCATATTTTTAAAGCTACCGTGGAATGAATGATTTCACCCATCCATAAACTTTGATAATTAATAGAATTTTAATTTTTTAAAAAGTTGTATAATGTTGACATGCATTATGTACCATTTGATTGAGAAGGTTTTTAATTTAATGATTAATAATGTAGAAAAAGTAGTATTACATGTAGATGATTTTATAATTTTTTTTACTTTATCATTCTCTTCTCTTCTTCGACGCTGTTTAGCTCCACCATTATAAATATTTTTTTTATTTTTTTCTCTCTTCAATCTTCTCAGTGAAAATCCCTCACCATCCTCTAAATAGAAGTTACCATTAACAAGTATGTTTTTTTATGATGGAAGAATTTTATGTGAGATTACAAATTGATTGCTAGGTAAATAAGTAAACAAGTTAGATGAAAGAATGACACAAGAGAAGATGGAATGACGTTGGAGAGAGATGGCAACATAGTGGTCACGACATAGGCATGGTAGAGAGTTGTTAGAAAAGATGAAACGTCATTGAAGAAGACAAAAGGTTGTCAAAAAAGACAAAACACCATCCTAGTTCATCTAACTCATACCTCATTCTCTCTTTTTGTCACACCACCATTGCTACATTTCAACAACTTCATCCATTGCTACCATTCCAACACCTGTAGACTCTCTACACTAGTGGCAATGTTGCCTCAATATGGCATGCTATCATGCCATGTCATGGTGACATTTCGGTGGGGGTGGTTACAATGCATAGGTTGAAGGAAGAGGGATCATGGAATATGGCTTTGGACACACGACCGACGAGGTGGCTTCACTGTCCTAACTTAACATGGCTTTTCTTTAGCATGTATGTACATATTGTAACATCTTCACTATAATTTAAATAATTTCTCTTAATATTATATAATATCTTAAGACAAACTTTGTAAAAGTTTGTAAAGATTTGAATAATTTTGGAAAATTGCACAGATACATGAATATAAATTGATAAAATAATAAATTTTAAAACTTTGCCGATGTAAAAGTCTCATTATTCATAATGAAGTAAAGACACATTTTTATAACTTGAATTTATAATTGAAATAAAGATAGGAATTTATGTAAAACAAACACGCGCGCGCACACACACACACACACACATATATATATATATACACAACTAAAACTGTGTATAAATTAAAACTTAAATAATTAACTATTAACTATTACACATAAACCTCGAATCATCATTTGTACTATGTTTGTTAACAGTACTTCAAGTTCTAATTAAAAACTCAATTAATATAATTACATTCTTCAAAATAACTGGTCCTAACAGAGCAGTCTCTTTCCTACCATTCCTTGCGAATATGATCCTAGAACACATCAATATTCTTTATTTCTTCTTTACCTAAAAATATTTGTAAGAGTGGGTATCCCTTGCCTCACTAAAATTCTTATTTTATAAACATAATACAAAAATATTTTCCAATTCAACATATAACAAATAGAAATATTCCATTCTTAACGAGTTTAATCAAACCAAATTATTCATATTTATCATTCATCATTTAATCATACACTTTCTATTTCTTATCTAGTCAAACAATGGTCATCCATATATACTATTCCACACTTAACCTAGCATCATTATCTAATCCATAAATCAATGCCACTTATCTATTTCATGTTTGAACATCTCATTAATTAACAATACTTTAGGTACTATCGGGCCCCTAAATTGCTACCAACGTAGTCTCCCTAGTTACGAACGACTTATGCAGCATGGATAGTCGATGGTCAGGTAAACCACACATGAATACAATGTGTGTGTTCACAGCCTTCCAAGTAAAGGTATAGTTAGGAGTTCGGTCAAGCAATAAGTAAGACTTGTAAATGCATCCCACTTTTACATCGTGTATACATTAGTGAACCACATTTCCACTCTTATTTCTCCCATATTTCCATAATCAACTCCAGCTCTATACCCCCAGTGTATCCCTAAACTATCTATACAGTACTTCAACAGTGACACATCAAATTATACTATTCTAATATATATGTTACAATCACACTAATCAATGTACTATAACATATGTTTTATAATCTCACCCGTCGGTGTATTACAATGTGTAACATCCTTATTTTATTCAAAACAATAAGAGTATAATTTCAGAATTTATATGAAAATTTAGTTAAATTTATTACAAATCATATGAATCACATGAAATCATTATATATTCGGTTTATCTTGCTCAAATGCACGAGAATTTTTAATAACAAAATAATAATAATAAAACAAATTTTAAGAGGAAATATCAAAATAACATGAACATACATTGTGCTCATAATTTACAGGATGTTAACATTTACAAAATATTCATTAAAATACATTAGGACTCTTTTCTAACATTTACAAAATACAAAACATAATAAGTCCTAATAAGCAGCCTATCCATCACGTGACCAAAGAGATACTAGTCATCCCTATGTTATCCCTATATCATCACTATATCATCAAAGTCGAGGTTGTCATCCAATTTGAGATATAAATCAACAGGATCTACAATAACCTGGGTATCTGTAATCTGCTCAAACGTCCAATGAGATGGTCTCTTTAGATAATCGTGGTCATGGTACGTGAACAGGTAGGTAAAAGTTGTTGGGGTCCTCACAGTGTCAGGAAAGATATATACACAGAGGGTATGATAGATTCTACTTATGAGGAAATTAAAAGAAATACTATAAGCTAATTCCATTTCCATCATAATAAGGTCACTAGGTATATTGTAACACCTAAATTTTTCTTTCCAAAATAATGAATTTCACAAAAATAGGAAGAACAATTTTTTTCATTCAAATAAAATCCTCATTAAAATGTTTCAAATTTAAGGAAAGGGGTTACAAAATTCATATAAAATCACTACTACAGGATTAATTCAAATACATTAATTTCAAAATGATATCCTAAGTCCTATAGTAGTTCCATCCACCCCTTCACTAAGACCGGTGTGATCGTCTTGATTACCTGAAAAATGAATGTAAGGGTGAGTACTCCACACTACTCATTACACAAGCAAACACAGAGTCTCACCTTGCGCATATTTTAGATAATTTCTAATACAATTCATATAAATATATTCACAGGGAGCATTACCACTCAATTCATTTTTAATCCAACTTTGATGTACTCACAGCACCAAATAGTTTACACACATGTAATCATCAAACAATAATCTCGTGCACTCACTGCACGCCAGCCACGCTCACTATGGCACTGTGATCACAAATTTTCACTATGGATGGTCGCTGGTTACCCCCGCCTCACTGATACCACGTAGGCAGTCACGGGTCGCTCAGCAAA